TTATTTATTTTTTAATTTATTTTATTACAATTTAAAATAACATATTTTTCTATTATGTTTTACATTTTAATATGTTAAAAAACTAATTCATTCCAGTGATGCAAAGCTGAATTTTCAGCACCACTACTGCAGTCTTCAAGTCCCCGTGAACCGGAAGTTGCAAACGATTTTTCTCAAGTGCTGTGACGTATTTCCAAGTGAAACGGAATATTGAATAGAGGGCAGGGTTTTACTCTAGCGCTCCTCCTCTCCATCTCTCGCTCATAGCAAACTACCGGTTTGAGGGGAGTGGTTAAGCGTTTCCCCACCCAAACTGTGAAACCTACGTCATCAGAAAAAGAAACCGTTCCAGACCGGAAGTAACTTTTTTTAGATTTTGATTAAAGATTACCAAGGTAAAACATTTTTTAAATATGTTTTTACTTGCACGGATTAATTGTTCACCACAAGACTAGTAATATGCGCTAACAAAGTAAATAGGTTCAATTTTGATTTCACGGGGACTTTCAGTGTCACATGATCCTTCAGAAAACTGCAAAAATTATTAATTATAAAATTATAAATGTCTTGATCAGCACTTTTGATCAGTTTAATGAATCTTCGCTGAATAAAACGATTAATTTCCTTATGTAAACATTCAACGGCCACTTTAGGTACACTTTGCTAGTAACAGACTGGAACCTCTTTTGCTCTTTCATGATCTCCTGTTCCACCACATCCCAAAAGTGCTCTATTGGATTGAGATCTGGTGACTGTGGAGGCCGTTTGAGTTTAGTGAACTCATATTCAAGAAACCAGTTTGAGATTATTGTGACATGGTATGTTATCCTGCTGGAAGTAGCCTTCACAAGATGGTACACTGTGGTCATAAAGGGATGGACATGGTCGGCAAACTGAGATGTTTAAACAATGCTCAGTTGGTGCTAAAGTTCCCAAAGTTTGTAAAGACCAGCAGCAGCCTGAACTGTTGATACAAGGCGGGATGGATCCATGCTTTCATGTTGTTCACAACAAATTCTGACTCTGATTAAACGCAGCAGAAATCGAGACTCATCATACCGGGCAACATTTTTCCAATCTGGTTGCCCATGTGAATTGTAGCCTCAGTTCCCTTTCATACGTCGGATGTCGACGAATGGGGTTCGCTTAGAAGCCTCTCATCTTCGAAAGAAATAAAACGAGCCAATGGCAAGGAAATGCTATGGGTCTGCAGAATTTGCATGGCGTAACTCCGCCCCACCACGTGGGAATAAAAGGAGTACGCTGGCAATATGCAGATATGTTTTCGCTTTGGAGTCAAGAAGTTCTCCATGGTGAGAACGTGGGGTGTGATGGCGTTTTCCAGCGAGTTTCACATTCCTGCCTGCTGAACTGAACAGCGCGTGTTTCTCCCTGGGCGCTTCAGCACTTCTGTGAGCTTTTCTCTCATAAAAAGAGCATGCACGTATTTCTAAAGACAATCTGCCTGTGTATTTCTGAGTGCGCTTGGGCTTTGATCACGTTCAGACAGCGTTTGTGGATGCGTCACATTCTCCCAGCGGGAACAAGACAACGCAATGTAATGGTCGAGACTCGATGAGCTCAATAGAGTAAGACTCCCCTCATCCACACCCCAATTCTATTTTCTGGAACTAAAATAACGAAATATTCTCAGTCCACAACCAATCTTTCACATTGCAACCCACACGATTCCGAATGAGTTCGCCAACTCGAGCCAGCAGGGCCGCGATCTCATTCGGTCTCCCGGCTGATGAAATCATGTATATCGCCGCATCACAAGGTGAGCTGGAGTCCTCTGGAGATGATGGCTCATCTGTGCTGCCATCATCGGGTGTGCTAGCATAATGAGTCTGATCCTGCTATAGTTGACACCTATGCTTTCCCAGGCTGCCGCAAGTATTGGGCTTGTCTGGAACAATCCGCCATGTCCCGAGCACTTAAGGCTGATGATTGGTTTTTGGGGGTGGCGAACCCAAATCCTTTCTATCCAGACGTGCATGAAGAGGTCATGAGATCGTGGGAGTCTCCTTTGACTTTCACAACTGCTCAGCAGTCTCTTCTGCCTTTTCTGCCCTCGCAGAGGCCGTAGCCAAGGGTACACTGGGGTTCCCACCATGGAGTGTTCTGTGGTAACAAATCTGTGTCCCCACAGCGCCTTCACCTGGCGTGGAGACCCTCAGCACCCCTCCGATGCCTGTAGGTCTACTCTGGTGGCAAAGACCTATAGAGCTCCTTGTTATTGCCATCCTTCTGGGTGCTCAATGACATGGACGAGGGTAGGGCTGATTCAGAGCTCATCCAAGAGCGGCCTGACCTCTCAGCAGTTCTAACTGCCCCGCAGAGTGCTCCCTTTGAGCCTCTGCAATCAGTGGAGATTAATTTCCTGTCTTTGAAGACAGCTCTGCTGGTTGCACTGGCCTCCATCAAGAGGGTAGGGAACCTGAACCTGCATTCTCCGTTGACGAACTGTGACTGGAGTTTGGGCCGGCTAACTCTCACGTGATCCCGAGACCCCGGCTTGGATATATGCCCAAGGTTCCCACCACTCCCTTCTGGGACCAGGTGGTGAACCTGCAAGTGCTGCCCCTGGAGGAGGCAGACCCAGCCTTGGCACTGCTCTGTACAGTATGTGCTCTCCGCACCTATGTAGACAGAACGCAGAGTTTCAGGACCTCAGACCAGCTCTTTGTCTATTATGGTGGAAAGCTGAAGGGAAAGGCTCTCTCCAAGCAAAGGCCGTCTCACTGGATAGCTTGCCATTCTATTCCATGGACTGGATACATATATTTCCTCGGGTGAGCTTCCCTCAAGCCCTGAGTTCCTCCAGCACTGCTGACGTCAACGCCAGTGTCTATTGCGCGTTGGCTAGGTGCATCCGTGTGCATGGCCCCCCCTCTGAGCGACCACCACATGTGTATTTCCACTGTAAGCCTCTCTGATCATGTGTCTTTCCCTTGGCAAGCCACCTTGCCAACCCTAGGGTTGAAATATTCCACCTTAAGCTGGACACCCCAGCGCCCTCCATATGCTTCCCTCTGGGTCACATATGTGTATTTTCTAAGTCTGAGTTACTGTTGTCTTTCTATCAGCTGGAACCAGTCTGGTCATTCTCCTCTGACCTCTGACATCAACAAGGCATTTTCTCCTACAGAACTGCCGCTCAATGGACATTTGATATTTTTCTTTACCATTCTCTGTAAACCCTACAGACGGTTGTAATCCCAGTAGATCAGCAGTTTTTGAAATACTCAGACCAGCCCATCTGGCACCAACAATCATGTCACATTGAATAAGTCACTTAAATAACCATCCTTCCCCTATCTGATGCTCAGCTTGAACTTTGGCACCGGCTTGACCATGGCTGAATGAAAGTGAATGAAAAGGAGTGAGTGAATTCGGAGAGTCGTTGAGCGTACATCGGTTGTACACTCGTTGTTGCAGTGCATTGTGGGATTGAATAAGTGCACTCAATAACGTCCACTATGGTTTCAGACACCACTCCAAATGGCTGTCCCCTCAACTAATGCCCTAAATGAGGGTATGGGGGCGATTTCGGATTCAGCCATTAGCCGTTTCTCAATATGCATTCTTGTCTGTACTTGTGTTCTTGTGGACTTGAGAAACGTTATCAGTCGCTGCCCAAGTACTGTTCCAATTCAAAGTTCACATCTAGCCAAGTCCACTTCAAATCCCCCGATGTGTTCTTGATCCGCCCCGTTTACTGAGGATGCATCGAGAGGTGACTTGTGCAGACTTGAGATAGCCAGGTAACCCAGAATGCATCTCGCGTCAACCAGCGTCAATGGGAGAGGAGAAAATCTGTAAAATATCAAAATACTACTGTTATTATGTCATGAAATGTAATTTTAAAAAGGTGTTTCGGGCGAGAATGTGGTTTAAATCTCAAATCTGTGGTTTATCTATAAAGATAGCACCTATTTAAAAAATGTATCTGACGTTTTCGGAGCTCTGACCTGCAAGCCTTTAACGGTGCCCAGCGCTCATCAACCCCGACTGGAACAGCTTTTCCTCGGCTAGTGCTTCTGACGTTTGCCGCTGGCACAGATGCCTCATCTAGTGGATAAACTTGACGTATAATTCTGTATAATAGTCTATCTTTGGTCTCGTCTCATTTAACTAGTTTGTTCCATGGCAAAAAAAAAAAAAAATCGTTTTATTGTGTTATTATAAATAAATATTTTTATTTATTTATTTCCTTTTTTTAAAATGATCTTCACTATATGAACAATAAAATAAAATGAACTCTGTCTTTGTTAAATGTCAATAAAAATCAATAACGTTTCATATTTTTAAAATGAAAACAAAAAAAGATCATGTTCATTTTGTTATTAATATATGGCGTGAAGATAATAAATATACGCCTAAACCACATGGCCAAATATGTTTAAGATTTTTTTTTAATGAAAAGAGGCAAAGTGGTGTTTATAACAAATTTCGTTTTATTTTTGAAGTTGTAGCATATTTCGTTTTATTGTTGCCTAAAATGTATATAAAAAGATAACTGGAGTAGCCAGATTTTGATGAGTGACGCGATCAAGAATACCCAGATAACCGGACTTGCATCCTCTCATCCTCGGGAGTTCGTTCTCCTGAGTCGTACTTGGCAAGTCTGAACTACCAAGGACGCAAGTCCGAACTTTGCGTACTTGGTATTGAGAAACAGCTAGTGTCTCGGTTGCGCATAAAATGTCTACATGCCTAAATGAGTGGCTACCACTGATTGGCTGACTAGATATTTGCGTTAACATGCAGTTTGACAGGTGTACCTAATAAAGTGGTCGTGAGCGTTTAAAAAAATCTTACTGGCCCCAAACTTTTGAACAGTAGCCTATGCATTCATACACACACACAAACACACACATACACGATTTATATTATATAAATAGATACTGCAGGAAATGTAAGCCATGAAACCTCTAATTCTCATGTATTTTTACTGTGGCATTTATGGAGGACACTAATTAAATAAATAAAAACAGTTAAGTTTTCAGGATTTATTTTTCAACCAGATTTATTCTCCCATAAATTGAACCCATAAGGTTTGCTTATTCAGGCCTTTGCTAGGGAACACAAAAAAGGAAAGTTATCTCGACTTAAGATGGTTTAAGAATCCAGAGTCCGCTTTTTAATTTCTGCACACATAAATAAATCTAAAGGTGATTATTATGAGGTGGAATGTTACAAATAAATACATTAGTTCTTACATCACCTATAACAATTACTTCATTTTAGTGAAGCTTTTCACAACTATTCATTATTCATATTAAAAATCACCAGCAAATATGCGCACAAAAACTATATACAGCCAACAATTTTTTTTTCCAAGGAGACCAGAATAAACCTCATAAAGTAGAATATTCAAAGTAAAAAATTCAACCTTTTGAATAGTATTAATTTAAAAGAACATAACATTAATAACATCAAAGCATACAAACATATTTTAAGAATGGCTTCTATAAAATAGTTTTCAAAAAGGGTGTTTTTTTACTCTGGTCAGAACCTGGATGGATCTGGGAAGAACAAGGACTGTAGACCTCTTCGCACACTTGTCAAATCTTCATCGTGCTACAAAGACAAGAACAATTTCATTCAGTCCTGAAGAAATTTATGTGAATTTAAGTATTAAAAATTAAACACACTTGGGCTCTTTCTCACCATTTCTTTGAAGAAACGCTCCTGAACTGATTTCATGTTTTTCTTCATCAAAGACACCTGCAACAGAAGCAACCTTGGTTCAAAAAGTGTCTATTCTTAACAATCAATGCTTAAAAATGGATTTGTACTGTACATATTGTTGTTGTAACTACAATTATCAAACTATTCTGGACCCCAGAGATTCAGATCCTCACCTCCAAAGAGAAGATTTGTTCCTCATAGTCTAGACAATCATGTGCATCAGTCTGAACCGTACTTTTTAACCTCTGTAGTCTGAAACAACAAAATCTAGTCTTTTAATTTGCCCTTTTCAAAGTTCTAATGAAATCACAATTTCTTGCCATTATAACACTACATAATAAACAAATAAGCAGCATTACATAAATCTTGCACCATTTTAGCTACGAATGGCTAGGAAATCCTGTTTGTTACTGCAACCCAGAACGACCAACAGATTGTTTCATAGGGCCCTATCTTGCACTCAGCGCAATTGACTTGTACACAGACGCATGCATCATTCGTATTTTGCACCCATCCAAAGCAGACTTTTCCCTCCACAAACTAGGGAATGAACTTGCGCTCCCTGGGCAGTTCAGCACAAAAAAGGAGGCGTGTTCCGGCGCAAACAATCCCAGGTGCTATTTTGCAGTTCCAGAAAACAATTGCACGTGCATTCAGATGCTATTTTAAGCACGCATGCTTGGCCATAATACAGTGTGAACAGCGCGCATACACTGTAGATGATTCTCTCTTCTACTCTCTTTTACTTTTTGCAAATGATACATTATTATAAGGAAAAATATGAAAACACGAGGGATATTGTTGTGTCCATGACGATGGGAAAAATAGGCATAACGCTTAAACATTTACCCAAATTATTATACGCATGTTTAACCGAAGCTAATTTGGGTGGGTTTGTCCCATCCCCAATGTCACTTCTCTTTCTTTTACGGCCCTGACGAGAACATCGATCGCCTCGGCTGTGAACCGATTCTGAAGTGCGCCTGGTAAATGCGCCGTTATAATAGTATTGCGCCATTGAACAAGTGCACCTCATTCATAATGCTCCAAAGGGAATATATGACATAGGTTTGTTTCCCTTTACGCCCAAACCACACCTATAAATAATGAAGCTACTTCAGACCAACCCCTTTTAGATTTGCGCCAAGCACAAGAGTCATTTATCCAGCTGGTTAAATAGCAACAAGCCAGAGATCCGCCCACAAAGTTACTTGCGCTTTGTGCTCGACATGTTTTAGATCGTTAAAATAGGGCCCCTGGTCATAAACAGGTATTGTGATTGCATTTACATTACAGCTAAGAAATCAATGGCATTCATCTCATGTTCATCCTGTTATATTCTCACCTCTTGGTTCCTTTCTCTTGGTATTTATGGAAGGCCAAGGTCTGCTTTTGCCAGTAAGTCTGCAATTAGTTTGATTAAATCAGAGGCTATTTACATTAAGTTAATTTTTTTTTTTAATTCTTATTACAAGGCACTTGGCAAGTCAGCACACTCACGGTCAGTTCTTCCTCCATGCTCCTTAAAGCCATGTCGTCTTGCTCCAGGTCTTCTATTTCACCCAACAGGACTTGTTTTACTTTCTCCAGCCTCTGAGAACTATACAAGGAGAGCAGACAAAGACAGCAGAAGAGGTACATATCAAATCTGCTAGAAGGCAGAAAATCGGACCTCTTTTAAGTTGAGGGTCATGTCTGACCTGTACTGGTGTACTTGAACACTGACAGATGACATGTGTTGCTGTAAGGTCTTTAAAGACTGTCTGGTGTAAAGATCCATTGTCCTGCAGCGATTCTGAGAAGTACACAAGAGAAGTTGCTGGAAAAGGCGAATAAACCCTCATTGAATGCAGCACGTTTGAATCCTCAAATGGTTGTTTAGTACGGTGTCACGATTTCGAAATTAATTCACAATCTCGAACTTTGAATTAAAAAATGGAATCGTCGATGCCGCCTTTCCCCCATGTCACGTCCGTTCGGCTTGCCAAGCGGAAAAAACACACGTGTTGAAGTGCTTCAAAATATAGCATGGCAACTGCAGATGCAGGAGACCCATCAACAGAACTGGAACCCCCTCCTCTTTCATTGAAGTCACAGGTGTGGAAATTTTTTAGATTTACAGTGAATAATGTTGAGTAATGTAAACGTTCGCGCTTAAAAAAAAGCCATAGTTTGCAGACATCCCAAGTCTCGCAGAAGTTTCCCGCATATCGAAAGCGGCTGCCTGATGCACGCAAATTAGTTAAAATCTCTCGGAATCTAGAGTGAGCAAGCAAGAGCGAGCGTGGAAGCCGAGACAGAAAAAACTGTGCCCCAAACCGTATTGCGCGCACGGCAGAGAGGGAGAGAGCGAGAGACCTTGCGTGTGTGCCTCATAAAGTGCATGTAAGACAAAGAGCATCCCGATTGGCCGATTGATAAATATTGAGACTCGAATTAAACCATGACCTTAAAATCGAAAATGTAATCGAATCGAGAATTTGGAGAATTGTTTAGTGAGAAAAGTGAGATGAATAGCACCTTGAGCTTCCTCTTGATCTCTGAGCTGAATTGATGGCAGATAAAGCCCACCTCCTGAGCAGGCTGGGTCAGGTCGATGTCTCCCTCCACACTGTCACGCCTGCAACTGGACCTCGTACAAGATGACAGTGTCTCCACTTCCTCAACTGCAGGAAATACACACACACATTAGTCAAACTTCAGCACATTCAAAAGCAGTACAGTACAGCTGAGCTTCTGAACTATTCAGTTATTCATGAGATTTTTTTTTTTTTTTTTTGAGGAAATGTATACTTTTATTTAGCAAGGATGCATTAAATTGATCAAAAGTGACAGTAAAGACATTACTGTAAAAAAAGATTTGTTGAAATAAATGCTGCTTTTGAACTTTCTATTCATCAAAGAATCCCGAAAAATTTATCAGTTTCCTCAAAATTAGTAATGATGTTGAAAATTCAGCGATTCATCATAATAAATAACATTCCGATATATATTACAATAGAAAACAGTTATTTTAAATTGTAAAAACTTTTAATAATATTGACCATTTTTTACTGTATTTTTCAGGGATGCAATACATATTTCAGCCTTTAAATATTTTTTTCACAAAAAAAGTTGTTATACAATGAAATCTCCTATATTTCAGCCTTTAAAATCATTTTTATAAAAATAATGAGTCAAAAAAAATTACTTGACATTTACATTAATGCACATTAGCTAACTTTATTATTAAAAGTAAAATTCGCCAGATTTTCCTGTAGCGTCTGTCGTTGCTAAGCATCCATGCACTCCACTCTACATAACACGACGACAAAGAAGTTTTAGTAGCTAATAGATTTTCACCATCGAAAAAACGCTTGCTGTAGGTCTGCTACAAGATTTATTTATGGAGAAGAGAAAAACACCGGTAGCGTTTGGGCACACCCCCATCCTTCATGTTCACTGAGCTTTCAATGGGTTCTTGTCACATGAAATGCGATGCGCTTGAGGCATTCTGAAAAGTTTTCATCTCGCTGCGCCTGGAAAAAATCGCTTCAATTATGAGAGCACTTGCCGCGCACCTATATTTGAAATAGTAAACTTGAGAGTGCAAAAGACATAAATAGAAATATCTTTTGATATTTCTATTTACTTGTTTGGTGGAGGCAATCCAGAATTATTGTTGGTGAAATTATAATCAGACACACCCACAGAAATCTCTTCGGATCTGCACGATTCACACAAGTCACCGAAACTGACGTGAAAAAAGCGGGAGGTGCCGAAAAGCGCGCTGTTTGCATCCCTGATTTTTGATCAATTAAATACAGCCTTGGTGAGCTCTCTCTCTCATTACTGGAGATTGTTGTTTCCTTGGCCCTTTTATTCAGGCCTCTTTGGTAACTTTTCTTTCTTCTTCCATTGTCTGCGACTATGTCCTCATCCTCTTCCTCTGAGCTGCTCTGATCCTTCACCAGCAATTTAGTATTGGGGCCTGAGGGATAGAAACACAAAGTCATTCACTGAATCAAACAAATCAAGGCGATTTTTCCCAGCAGAATCACCGGTAACAGTGCCTGATGAGTCAGGATAGGGATTAATATGCGTCTATGAAACTTAATGAAAAGAACATTCAGTTAAACTGACCGCAAAACCCAAATATTCAGTAATGTGCTATGTGTTATATTAGAGACTACATCACATCAAAACAATAAACCACATCTTTAACAAGGGTTGCTTAATTTTTATCCTCGCTGTGTCATGCTGGGTATCTCTGCACACAGTTAAATCTCATTGGTCCAAAATCTCGCTTTACATGGCTGTATATTAAAGATGCAATAGATCATCTGGGATGATCAACTTTTGCCTACATTGAAGGCATATGATCCCCACCCTCCCTGTAAATCTTCATTAACATAAACACGCACCAGTCGAACTATCGAACTATCGGTCACTTTCACTTCTCTTCAAAGGCATGTTGACAAACACCACGCGTGACACATTCGTCTCATTCGGTCTGGCTGAGTATCAAAAGTGAAGTGAATGGAAAGATGGCGAGGGCGGCCATCAACTATGTTTTGAATGGCTGGTATTTTCATAAAGGGAGAAACTACTCAAGGCCGGACACTTGTTGCATAATGCCTAGTTAGGACGACACATAATTCTTATGAAAAGGTGATAAATACCCTTACTAGGAGTCCAGTGTTTATCAGTAGGCATGAACAGCTTTCTGGGCTTCATTTTTTGTGCTATCTGAGAGGGAGAAGGTGCCTTATTCTCTTTGTCCTCCTCACTGTCCTCATCTACCTCTGAGAAATCAGCAGACTGGCATGGGATGAGATGCTTGTGGTGGATGGAGGATGGACCTGATTGGCAATTGACACAAAGAATACATAAGATGCTTATTTTTGTAAACTAATAAATTACATAAAACCAAACCTTAATTAAAATTCTTTTCACCTGACTTGAATTCTGGTCTCTCAGCCTTACTTCCTTGCTTGCTTGCTGGTGTTTTCTGTAAATCGTACAAGAATGAAGTAGTGTTACTGAAATGTACTACTATCCAAAGTGCAATTGTGCTTGGAAATAAACTGTCAATCCTTTACCTCTAACTCAGTGCACATCATGGCAAAGTTGCTCACAGATTGGGTCATTGTCATAGAAATGACAGACCCCCTTCCAAAAGATGCTGGGCTGGTTCTGTTCATGTCACCCATGTGCTCCTCCTGGAGGTCAGGAGAGATGATTGGGGAGGACAGGGTGCATTTCTCTTTGATGACGAGGGGCTGAGTTGAAGTCAGTAATGAGTGGACCGGACTCAGCTCAACCTGCAGGAGTGGGACAGAGGTGAACTGGCATTACATCAGTGGCTTTCAATCCTGATCCTAGAGACCCACCACTCTGCACATTTTTAATGTCTCCCTTATTGGACACACCTGATTCAGATCATCAGCTCATTAGGAGAGAGAGCCATGAACTGAGCTGAGTGTGTCAGATAAGAGAGACATACAAAATGTGCAAAGCGGTGGGTCCCCAGGACCATGATTGAAAACAATCCTGGGGTGGTGATGGCACAGTGGATAAGACACATGCCTTTGGTGTGAGAGACCCAGGTTCAAATCCACTGTGAGACACCAATGTGCCCCTGAGCAAGACACTTAACCCCTAGCAAGACACTTAACCCCGTATATTGCTATATATGTCAGAGGCGTGCAACCTCTGACATATATATCAATTGTAAATCGCTTTGGATAAAAGTGTCAACTAAAATAAATAAATAAAATGAAAACAACACCATTACTTTAAAGGGTTAGTTCACCCAAAAATGTCGTCCCAAGCCCGTTCATCTACAGAACAGTTTCAGATATTTTAGATTTAGTCTGAGAGTTTTCTGTCTCTCCATTAAAAATGTATGTACGCTGGTATACTGTCCTTGTCAAGAAAGGAAATAAAGACATCATCAAAGTAGTCCATGTGACATTAGTGTGTTAGTTAAAATGTTTGAAGCATCGAAAATTCATTTTGGTCAAAAAATAACAAAAACTTTATACTTTATTCAGCATTGTATTGTCAATCTGTGTTCAGTGACGCTGCTGACGTGTATCTGGTACGTACGTGTTTTTTGTGAGGGGACATGTCTGCATAGGAAATTACACCCATAGGTAAAACATCATCCCCAGGCTTTATGAACTTGCACTTCAAGCTTTCACCAACAACGCTAATGTGACGCATGGATCACAGTCTATCACACTGTGTCGCTTGGACCCGTCCTGCTCTACTTCTGATAGGCTTGTAACATGTTAGAACTGCGTTCCTCTCATATGATTAGTAGGTGAAATCAATTGACTCAAAAATATTAAACGAATGCAAGTTCACTTTTTTCCCCCTCACACCCGTACGTCGGAGATCCGGCAAGGTGCCGGAATACTTTAAGCCCCGAGTATCTGGACACTTAAGCCACACTTAAAACGAATGTCATTGTATAACGTTATAAATGATCAAACTATGTGGCATTCATTTTAAAGAATGATATAGATATAGAAATTGTTAAGATAGATGAGTCTACAGCACACTGTGACAGTATAAATACTTGTAAATAAAGCTTCATGTCTTTAACTCCATACGCAGTCAGCGTCATTTCTGAATAAGTAAATATTATTTCCTGCTGTCTTTTTGTTCACCAAGTCATCCACTTCAGACTCTTCGAAATCTTGAAAACCATTAAAAAAACTACAGGTCAGCTCAAATTCTACGGCTTTTTACTAGCATGACAGTTTGCATATGATATTTTATTTTATATAGTTGAGCCGATTATTCATTTAACCAACGTTTAAGTCGTCATCTTTACTGGTATGAAATACCTGCTGTTATGAAAATCAATTACATAGATACTGTATGAATAAAACAGTATTATATAACATAATTACATAATCACAGTGGATAACTGTATTAACACAATAAACTAAATTGTGTGCGCATGGCTTTCAAACCATAAATCTGTATTCAGATTTTAAAAGAATCATTGTGACATTTAAATATGTATATATATATATATATATATATATATACAGTATATATATAGCAGTAAATGCAGAGGTGTCTCGTCCGTCAGCTGTTCTGATATTTACTACTGTAATGAACATGAACTTAACTTTTAATAAGCAGGGAAAATTTCCAACTTTAAACAAATAACCATTTAATGTTTAGGACATTTACATTGTAAGAATGTTTAAGGGGACTTCACATGCGGACTCGTTAGGTAATGTTTTCTTATTAAAATCAGAAGATTTCCTATTTATTCAATAGAATGTGAGGGAATATTAGGAAATATTATAGGATACCTATATGGCCAGTAGAAAAAAAATATTAGTATTGAACAATGCTTCAGTGTCATCAAATAATTTTAATTAGCTAATTTGCTGCTCAAGGAACTTTTCTTATTATTATCAATTATATATAATATGTTGTATTGTCATGTATGTATTTATCATTTTGTTGAAAAGTTTTAATATTTTTCGGAACCTTTCATAATTTTCTTTACATAGAAATATTTTGCAACATTTTAAATGTCTTTACTCTCATTTGGAACCAGTTAAAAGTATTTGCAAGAAGAAATATTAAATAGTTTTTCAGCTTTTCTTTTTTAGTGTGGTCCAAATACTTTTTGGGACATCTGTATGATCAGATCTACGAATAAAATGAGACTTAAAGGCTATATTAAAGGTTAGAGGAACCAACGAGTCAATGTTTAAAAAAATAAAGTAGGAACTAGATTTTCTTTACTGAGCACTGTGCTCACAATATTGTACAGATTATTACCATCGTATATCAGTTAATAGCAAAGCTATTATTGGTCATCTAGGAGTATTGGAACTTACCAATAACAGAAACTAATACGTTGATATCCGCCCAGACTAGTGTTACGTGATATAACTTAGTGGCTTCTCATCGAGAGACAAAGAGATATTTGCATTCCTGATTCACGTTTTTGTTCCATAGGTGCTTGTGTGGGAAATGCGAGGCATTGTTCACAGCTGAGGAAAGTCAGTGCTGCAGGGAGGTGGATGCAATCTTAGTGGAAATGGGCCTTAGTGGAAATGTCACCCGCCAGGTTCTTGCTTCGGCATGCCATGTTGAACTCCATCATATCGCTGAGATGATAATCCTCCGATCTGAAGTGAATGCTACACATGACCGTGTTTTTCGAAGCCAATGCCATGTTTTTCTCATCACCTGCACAAACCGCACCCGGGCACGATAGATAGCACTGTGGACCTGATAACCTGTGGACTCGATGTCTTGACAGGCCTCCACAAACACAATTTACCATGACGATGATAAATTAAAATACAAAAACTACCGAAAACGACCGCTCTTACCAAATACCAATCTACTCTGCACTGAGCTAAGGCTCCCTTTCGTGACGTAAACTGACGCGATGTTGAAAAAAAAATGCTCATTTTTTTATGAGCAGTCAAAGAAACACTCACTTTATCTACCTTATGTCGTTTTAAAACATTTTAAATCCTGCTTTAACTTTTCATATGGTATTTTCATACAAGGTTATATATTAATTTAGATTTTTTTACCAGTAATATGCTTTTTAAGACCTTTAATACTGTCCATAAGTAGTTGATCTAAGAATGTTATTTGGAAACCTGCCCTATGGTTGCTTCCTGTTTACCTGAGCCGTAGGTCGATTCTTCTTGCAGCCTCTGGAGCTTGTGGAAACAGGTGTAATGGAGAAAGGAGGTTTCACAGCACCTTTTTTCCCTAGTGTTTTACAGCGAGAGGGGGCCTGGATTTCTTTGAGAGGACTGAGTGGCTCTAGTGGAGAAGAGTCAGCATCGATTGGAGAGATAGACAGAGAACGGAGAGGTGTAGTATTGGATCTCACGTTGGTTATTTTTTCGGCTGCTATAGAGAAAAATAAAATGCAAATTACACAGCATTTACAAAAGATTGTACTAGGATGTCCATTTATTAAATTTAGTGTGATTCAGTATCAATAATTAACACAATTATTTTGATTAATAGCCATTCAACTACACAAACTCATTTAAAGCAATTTAATTCTTACATCTCATCCTCTCAATGGAGGGAGGCGAGGCAAATGTGGAAGATAATCTTGCAGCCCAAGATTCTTTCTGTCTTCTGGCGGACCTTTGAGCAGATGAGGTCTTCTTCACCGTGAGATCCTCTGCATCGGACAACTTCTTGCCTTTATCAATCCTCAGATCTGGCTGAGTCTTCACAATGGCTTTTTCTGCCTTTTTCAGCACATTCGTCTCACTTTGTTGTCTGGCTACTTCTACAGATGTTTTTTCTCTCTTTTGTTCCCGTCCTGCAGCTTGAGGTGGGACAGTCTGCTGAGACGTTACTGGTCGGACAACTGCCTTTTTCTATTTGGAACAAAACAACTTTCATCAGGACTGTTATCATTAGTCTTTGAAAGTCTTCAATGAAGGCAATAACACTAATGAAGATCCGCTTGAACTAACTTTGCTAATAGAGAAAAATCACATGCCTTAGAGGGCGGTGCTTTTTCACTCTCTGATAGGCTGGACTGGTCGTCTGAGTCAGACGGCTCTCTGTAAGTTTTGGTCAAGGCTGCAGCTCTTTGAGGTCGTCCTGTGGCTTTCTTATTTTTGATGCTTGGCTGCTGTTTATCCTCCTGCTCGGCCACTTTCTTCTGCCTCTTCTGTTATTCACCCAATCCAAAAGAAAAGGGAATGATTAATATCAACTTTAAAAAGACAAAATACTACTCATTCATAAAAGTGTAACAAACTTATGTACAGGAGGGAAATATAATTGAGAACAGAACTGCTCTTCTAAAATAAAAGATCATTTTATATGCAGACCCACACTGATATTCAGACTAAACTGAGCTGCAGCAAAAATGCTTAATTCAGAAATGAGTCCTGCTTAAGACATTACATCTATGAGCACAAAATCACCCATATTAACCAATAAACACCACCTATGAAGCAATTTGACACGGGAATTCTTTCTTATTTCACATGCAGAAAGGTTAACCAATCATAATAGAGGTCATCTTATCCGTAAAATAGCAAAGGTCACAGACTTTTTCCCCCTTTGTTGGTGCAAATATTACAAAAGTAAAAAATAGCTACAATATGGCTCCTTTAAGACCTAATTTGTGAAATTATTGGCCTTGTTCTTACCCGCTTTGGCTTGATTTGTTCTTTCACTGGCTTTGGCGAAGGCGAAGGTGTAAATGGCGATTTAACTGAAATAAAATAAAAGTGTAAGAGATTATCTGGTGCAGGAGGATGTAAAAGAGGGAGGGGAAGTAGTTATTAATAAATTGCATGTAGTCCTTAATTAAATAGATGCCACCCATCTTTAATGTAATGAAGATGGTAAACAAGTGTTAAAAAGTACTGCTAGAGATGTAAAGCTGGGTACACATTGCACGATTTTGCTGTTCTTACTCTACACGACTGTCTGAGGTACCATTTAGTTGCTGCTGTGTGCACATAACTACAGGAAGAATCAGCGTCAGGGGGTCACACATTACACAACATTTCAATAGGAATAATTGCAGACAACTCTGTCTAGTCTACAAACTACGTTTCACCTGGAAATAATGTAAAATCACACGCGAGACAGGAATTCTTCTTTTTGAAATGATGTACGCAAGAAGCTTGTGATTTGCAGCGGAAAAAAAAAAAAATATATACAGTATATGAATGAGAGAATGCCTGCTTGCAGTTCTGTTGCAGGCCCACCTGAACCTTCCCTTGCCCTGTATCATTCTCTCTCATTAGCTAATTAATTTCCTGTCATAACATAATTCACATCGCACAACTTTCAGTCACAGACAAGTCTAGATTTTAAGCATGCTTTATGGGTATCGACACTTCTATCAGATCGTATCTTTAATCATACACACTACGAGATAGTCATTTATACCAATTTGCCACAGATTTCGTGTTTCTGTCTGTGATATCCACAAAACTGTCACCAAGTGAAAATTGGGGCGACATCTTGCAGTGTATACCCGGCATAAGGCATCTCTTCTCGAAAATATAGCGATGGGTGTAACATACATGCAGAGTCAGCTGATGGAAAGGTGGGTTTAACTGGTTGCCGGCTGTAGTCTGCCACTTTGGGTTTGGGTTTCCTGTTGGCAGATTTTAACCAGCTAACCTCTGTCATATTGTCTGTGTCCGTATCACTGAACAGGTGTTTATTCACATTTGTCGCAGCAACCTAGGGGTGTAATAAACATACAAGTATTAAATGTGGACTTTTGATTGGGATATATTAAATCAAGTGGCCATCCTCAAATAATTTAAGAAATGAGAAACCTTTGGGAGCTTCCTAGCAGACTTGGAGAAAGCTGGAGAATTACTTAGTGCACTAAAAGAAAAAAGAACAAAAACTTTGTAAATATGCAATAAAATACATAATATAATAAGAAGAAGTCACATGCCCACAAATATGCAGGGTTTCTTTGGAGAAATTTTAACTGTCCACATAACTACTAAACTCTGCAGTTAGGTTCACCAGTTAAACACTAGAGGGGGCTATTTTTTATAAATTAACAGAATTACCTGCTTTCCACTCGCGATGAATCAGAGGATTTCTTTCTCTGAAGAGGACAAAATTAAGAACTTATGACAATTATTATCATACTCTTAAATACTACACATTTTATGATATTTATTTTGTTTAGCTATGGATGTCCTCACCACACTAATTGTTGGCGTGTCCTCTGTAAATGCATAAATATCCCTGAAGAGACCAAACAATAAATGTATTTATTTTTAACAGTCGTTTTCGAAAGAACTGTCTCTAATTAAAAGGAGGGAAGTCATTAAAATGCAATACTCAAGCTTCTGGGTTGGTCTCTTGGATTTAAGCAAACTTGAACTCTTGGCAGCAGTTTTCTCCTGTAACATATGATGAGTGAAAATAAAAATGTACATTGATTAGATAGCATCATAATTATACAACTGAATCTATCAACTTGCATTACAAATGTCTTTCTAAATGACTTACAGTGGATGATGGATGGCTACTCTTTTTGAACAGATATCTGAAAGTGAAGGAAACACTATGATTGCATGCTAGCTAGAGGGAAAGCTGAGGCGTAATCGAATGGTCCGTCTGTGTCACCTGTTTGTAGATGCAAACTGGGCGCCAGGGTCAGGGGACGCTGCTTTGGCACTTATTTTATAATGACTCGAAATCATCTTCACCATACTGTCTGTTCCACAAGTCACCTTCAGAACATCAACAACAAAGGCTAAGTTTAATATAATAAATCTTCTGTTAAAAGTTTTCTCTGTTGCATTAGGCTATGAATTAATAATGTCTTTTCATTTACAGTAGCATGAACTACGAGTAGTCGAGTAACTCAAGTATTGTTGTGATAAGAACAAATCAACTCCAAGTAATAGTAACACTTGCCTTAGCATAAACTAATAACAATACACCTTTATAACATAAAGACATCTATTTAAACTAAAAGAGTCTCACATTCTCAAGGTCTGATGCATCGCCCTTAACTTTGCTACTCTTCCCTCTCTGTTGTGTAGGTCTAGCAGGCATGGACCTCACTGATTTCTCCACTTTCTCTTTCTCTTGACTTGCAGTTCTGGGCTCCAGTGAGGAGCCTCTCTGGGTTGCATGGCCATCTGTACCCTGCTGCTTCTTCAGCACTTCCTCCAATCTCTGAGTGAGCTGGGTTTGCAGCTGATTATGGGTCAGGGTTTTCGATGCACACTGTGCCGGGGACAGGCGCCGAGGTGGGGGATGAGAACTACCATCTGGAGATGATTACACAGAATGCAAGATTACTAAGAGTGTAACGGTACACAGTCACGGTTCATACCTCAGTGCAGACTTCACGGTTCGGAACGAGTTCGGTATAATGGAGAAAAGAAAATGAAGAAAGCTATTTTTTTTTTATTATGCATGTCTCAGGCTGTACCACCCAGTGTATAACTACATTTAAGTAATTCATGAAATTAACATTACTATTGGAGCATTCTCTCTCTCTCTCTCTTCTGTGTGTGTGGGGGGGCTGGATTAAAGGAAAATAAATGTCTTAAACCTTGTATTAAATACATTTTATTAATAAAGTAAAGGCATAAAATCAGTTTAGTGCATTAAAAATATTTTTATATAATTAGTTTATAAATTAAATTAATAAAAAGACAAAAATACCTTGAGATATGAATGACTGTAAATTCTTATATTTTATTATGAGAATTAGACCGCCTAGTGATAAGAGACATGAAACTAGCACAGTTATGTTGGAAAGTGGTTCAAACTGTCAATTATAGTATAGAGGTCATAATACAAAAAAATCCTTGACTGCAGGATGCCAAGTTGCCTAATTGAGTAGGCAAGAGTGCCATGTAATGTAGTTTAATATATTTGCTGATACAACATACTTTACAAAATAATCACCTTAACAGTCACTCTCTCCTATCTGTTCACTCACCTGATACAGAGCATTTTTTAGATCTATCTTTTTCCAGCAGTGATCCAGATACAGAGATTCTCATTTTGCTGGAGTTCCAGAGACCCGGTGAACTGAATTGTTATAAGTAACAGATTGACATGCATTAGATAAGAGTCCTCTTTACAATGAATGTAATGTTATTCTACTACCCAGTTAAACAGTTGAGAACTGTAACCGAAATGCCATTAGAAATGCACTCACATTGAGCTACCTTTTACCACAGGTTGGGAGTCTGGGACTATGCTGTTATCTTTCCGAAAAAGAAATAAAATAAGGTTAATAACATTAAAATATGTTAACAATAGCACTGTAATAGCATGCTTAGTTCATTAAATACCAAAAGTGTTCTCTTCATATTCTGTGTCAGCATGCACCATCTCTACTACTTTGTCAACTGGAATATTCTGCAGAAAGCATATTTTTATAGGGTTAGAGGAGAAAAAAGGAGTAAAAAAACAGAAAACACAAAATGAACAATTAATAAAATAACGTATGAAACCTTAAGAAACCGTATGAAATCTTAAAACCAAACAAATATAAATAAAATTTAGAGCACCTTGCGGTACTTTTTTCCTTTAGCCTTAATGCTCTGGATTTTCTGTTGGTCCTCATTCTGGGCAGCAGGGGTTGACTAATAAGACACACACACAAGATTCACTGATATTACAAAAACACGTACAGTATATGCCTTTGTTAGTTTAATTGTGTTTCATAAACTCTTTTCTCCATTTGTTAGTCTGCATTAGTATAAACTGCCCTGCTGAAAAATCCAGCATAAATCAGCATGAAGTTCATGTTGTCCAGGCTGGTTTGTGCTAGTTAGAGCTGGAGTATCTCAATCCCAACTGAGCTGGTGTAGCTGGTCCACTGGCACTCCTGCTTCCCACTCTGGGGGCCAGCAAGCCATCAACCCATGCTGGATTTATCAGCAGGGTTGCAGAACATTTGAAGTATCTGAAACTGTCTAAAAAGGTTATACCTGTGCTTGAATTGCATGGGCCTTCTTTTGGTCGTTCTCACAGTGAAAAAAAGATGTTTTGGACATCATGAGGTCTCTAATCTCAATTTCCTTTTTCCTCTCTGAAGAGCTCATCATCTGAAGAGCTGGTTTCACCATTGGCTTCATCACTAGAAAAAAAGGTCCAAGCCAGTTGCAAAACTTCATATTGCTTTTTTTAAATTGCATAATCTACAGGTGGCTGTGTTACAGTAATTTCATCATAAGAGATGATCTTTATTGTGTGTGGTAATCAACAACATTCCATAACTTTACTTGTTTTCAACCAGGATCTAAAATTAATACTGGCCAAGCGCCAATAATATATGTGTCAGGAGTCGTGCAGGATGCAGAAGACAAGGACAAAATGGGGATTTTTCATCTTAAAAATTAAAATGTTGGATAACTCTTATTTTAAAAAAATATACCATTGTAAACAGTAGGATGTTTATTGGCTATGTTCACTGGTTAATATAATTTTTTTCACTCCTTTTGTTTTTTAATTAATATTAAGACATTATGAATGATAATAGCTAAAGTTAATTTCATCTACACCCTAAATTAAGCTAAGCTTAGTGATTCATTGTCAGCCCCAGTGCCACCAGATTTTTTTTAATAATTGCATTGCAAGCTGATTTAAGGTGTGCCCCTAAATTTTCTGCTTGTGCTCCTAAAATTTCAGTCAGGGACAACAGCGCTCCTAGTAAAAAAAGTTAGTCTGGAGCCCTAAAATACTATGCAGTGTTATTTTACATTTGATTACTTTATTTGTGGTCTATATTTTGGTGTTATTGGCAAAAACAGTTGCATGGCTGGTAAAAAAATATTTATTCACAGGGAAATCTTCTGAAGTCACAGGCCATTTGGCAGGTGTGGCAAAACGTTAGATTTAGGCCCTGTTTTCAACCGAAAGCATTCCTTTAAACATGGTAAGATGTGTAAAACAGAACATTGAGTACTTACACTCTTACTGTGGACATCTAAGAAGCCGGGAAAAGATTTTCTTACAGATAAAGTCATAAACTGCTTAGTGACCTACCTAAAGACACACAACTGGAGGAACAGCTTCCCTGTGGACGACCCGTGGATACCTTCATCTGTAGAGGCGTTACCATCTGAGAAAAAGAGATTTGTGCTCTTAGCTCTGGAGAACAAGAGACCTCTGACCACTATGATTCCATTAACGTGCACAGAGAGATGTAACATAATATACTTTTATTAAAAATTCTCATTAGTATTTTAAGAAAATACTAATTTTACCTGGTTAAAAACAGCTTTGTTTTTAGCACGCCGTTATAGTGCATATGGAAAAAACTTTTTTTTCACGATTTGGAAAGATTAATATAAAGGTTAATAAAACTTTACACTTACTTCTGGAGGTATAAATAGTTGCTACCGATTCGTTTTTCAGGAGAAGCTTCTTAGCAAAACCAGCTCATACTTGTTTATAAAGCAGTCGCGCAAACATGAACTCATCGACTTTGTTTGTGGGGAATATTCCCTTCAAAAACAAAACTCAGCCACTCTTAAATCCGAACCGCTGAAGACGGAACATCAAAAGACTGCTGTGTTCATTATTACACCCAAGAACAGAACACCACAATCACACTGGATAGATTTAATCATTATATGATGGTTGTGTACAGGCACTGCCAACACACATTTCAGTACAATCAACTTGTAATAGTGCATGTACCATTATATGACCCCTTTAAAGAGCTTCAAGGGACAAAATACAAACTTGTAACTTTAACGGGGTAAATGAGGACAAAAGTTCACCAAAGTTAATTATACAGGTCATCTAATTTAATAACTAGCTTGGAATTAGGGATGTGAGGGTGAGGATATTTTCCCACCGGTTAATCGACGTGTGACAACCTTCAAGACGTGCAAGTGGTCACTTCCGGCACATGCAGACTGAAGCACCCGTGCCGTCAGATCAGATTAAACCTTTTGAAAAACGGGCGCTGGTGTCTTATTTTGGCTTATCTTAGAATGCTTTAAATTACAGTTTTTCCCATTCATTTCTATGGGTGCCCATTTTTGACCCAAATACATGATTAAGGATTTTTTTTCACCCACTTAACATTGTAGAATTGAGTTAAAATAAATGTGTGTGTTCAAGAGCCAAACTTAGGAAAAGTAGTCAAGTCTTGTACCACTCAGATCAAGGGAAGTATTTTTTTTAAATAAATCAAAACTATTTTGCCCACATTTGTCCAGAATATGGTTTTAGGGTTAAACTAAATAATGAAAACAAAACTAGGCTTTTTTTATAGGCCAATTTTCTTTTCTTTTACTTTATAAATTTTTTTTTTATATGGGGCCATTTAACCATTTAACCAAAAAATCCTTACGCCATCTTCGCACTGGCAGTTGAAATCAGCTCCGTAATATGCAATACACCCCCAACGGACATCGTACTACACAGTGAAAAACGTTGGACGCGGGTAGAACAAAAATGGCAGAGAGATTAGAAAGGTTAAAATTTATTTTATTAAACGTTAAGTTTTGTTTCAGGTTTATTTATCACTACAATAGCAACGCTCAACTTCCGCTGGAATTGTCGATAGGAACCGTCCGTAGCTTTTCGCATGAGTTAAATTTTTTTAACACATCCGGATGACCAACGGACATGATTTTCTTGGCACAGCCCTCGGTCGGACCCGTTTCGGACCCAATAGCATGCGTTCTGCGAATCTCCATAGGAAATGAATGACTTCCGGTCATTTTGGAGCCGTATCGGAGTAATGTAATAGGCTTCTCAATGTAATAATAATACTAACTCTAATAATCATAATTGTTTAAACTTTATTTTTTAACGAATAATCACAATTTTTTTTGCCTATTTTAATTTGACAGTAAAACTTAATAAAACAATAAACAGTAAAAGTGTAGTGCAGCACTTCGCTTGACAAAAACAGTTTAACCTGTTAACTGTCACCCCCCTTTTTTGAATAGACATGAAAATGCACATTTCGAACTTAAATGGTTGTAATTCAAGAATGCTTTGGAATATAGACATATGATTGGTCTTGTTTTAAAGAAGACATTTGGCAGATTTTTGTAGAAGTGAAATAAATTAAGAAAGTGAAACAGAAAAAAAGTTATAGAGGTTTGAGTTTATGGAAATGTACAATGCAAAAATATTAATTATTCATATTTTACATAAAATATATATTTTCGAAACCTGGGCTACTCTAAAATGGCAGAAAAATCAAAGCCAAAAATCTGAACAAGTTGTGTTTCAAATTTTAGGTTGATATCTCAAAAAATGAGCTTTCAGTAAGATTTTGTTTGAGCGCAGTACCAAACTTTTTCACTAGGGCACAATCAGACTCCATTACTGCCCATATAAGGGCGCCTGCATTTCCATTCGTGTTTTGAGTGATATGAACCATTATTTTCACAATTTTCATACAATTTCTGAAGTAGAGATCCTATTCAGAAGTAGCATGGGAAGTTTGGCAGATTTTGATATGAATTGAACCTCTAAGAAACACATACAAAGAACACGCATGTAAGTCATAGATAGCTGCCACGTCACAAATGGTGAATTTATTATTTTATTCTTGATATTTCAAACTTTTCAGACCTTTTTTTTCCAAAATAATTAAATGGATTCTATCTTTTGAACTTTTGACATGAAAACAAACTGAGGTATCTACCATTTTTTCATGATTTTTCATGTTTACTGTTATTTTAAAATAAAGGTCTGAACACGCCTTATGAGTATGAAAATATTCTTGTTTTATATTGATAAATTATGGCTCCTCTGTAATATATTTTGAAAATCAGTCACCAAATATGGAAACTAGAGATTGTAAGCTTTCAAATGATATATAGTTTGTCAATATTATTTAAGGTATTTACTAAGATATTATTGTTTTAAAAATATAGTGGCAAACGTCCCACCTGTGGGACGGTGACAGTTAAGTGGTTTGTCATATGATTAAAAGATCAATGATATTAATGTTTTATGCCTTATTTGATTGCCAGAAAAAATGTAATGCACAGCACAGAATTTCTGAAAAAACTTTTTTAAAGAATTGATTCTTAAATAATTGACAATTAAAGTTTAATTAAACCATTAAAATGGAATACAGAATACTTCTAATTCAATTCAAAGCTCTCACGAAACATCATTATGCTATATAAAAGCTCTACGGGCATCCTAAAATGGAAACTTCAAATGTTTATTTTGTGAGCATCTTGTCTTACCTGTTGGGGGACATTGTTTGTATCTGGTGTTAGATGTGTGAGAGACTGGCAGGGAATGCCATGCCTCACTGATGATGTTGCTCTTCCCTCTACACGCACAGAGGGGGACACTTGACTTTCAGGAACAAAAACCTGTGTCAGAGTCAAATTATTGTTAAAAAAGGATAAAAGCCCACAACTCACAACAGAAAGCCAACTTTTTTTGTCACAATGTCACAATTAACCTTAGGAAAAGGATGTATAAAAGCATCTTTTAATATTGACTCACCTGTGAACTTTCCTGTGAACTTTTGATGTGAACAATTGTTTTCACAATAGAGGGCTTTCTAACAGACATCTGACATAAAGCAAAAGGGGAAACATGAATGTTGATATGCTGTGGGATAGTTGCATTAAAGAAGTCATTACACATTTAATAGAAGTGTTTCATTCCCCTTAGCAGATTTAATCAGATGTTAAGCTCAAAGGCTTATCAAGTAAATGATGCGATCCTAATAACCACATAAAAACACAAATTTAATCAATGCATTAATCAATCAAACACCATGTCAATCCATTAATTTAGTTTTGGACTAATCATTCTGCTGTAAAACTTTAAAAAACAACACTGTGTATAAGATAAGATCAATGAATATCTCGACTATGACTATGTATCTAACAATTGATATTGGGGTTTGCACTAAAATAAATATTCTGATTAGATCAGATTCTTGACATTTATATATCTTAAAAGTTGTACTTTCATGTACAGGCATGTCCATCAGTGATCTTTTAAAGTAACCTCACCCTGTTTTTAGCCTGACCATAAACATTCTCAGTGGCTCGCAGGATGTCTAGAGAAGAGCTGAATTTGATGCAGACTCTGGAGCCCTCTAAGCTGTCGATGTTGACAGGCTCAGTCAGAACCAGATGGAGAGTCTTTCTGCCGCTCTCCTCTGTGAAGTCAAATATAGACAGATGTGTTGTTCATATACAGCTTAGAATACTTAGAAAGATTGATATGGATCCAGAACTTTTGTTTTTGTGGGACTTGAGATCATTTACAGAAGTTGCAGAAAAATGTTGATTGTACTACCTTCTACTGTGTAACTGTGGACCTCATTGTCAGCAATACACAGAGTGTTCCACTGGCCATCCTGACAGTATGGAGATACAAAAAAACAATAACTGTCAAATATGATTAAATGCAAGCACACAGAGGTGCATTTCAGACAGTGCACGAACACCAAATTGATTCATTTTTCGCATCTCTTTCCACTTGAACTGACACACACATAAAATACCCGTCTCGGCAAGTATTCGCGTAAACACAGTCGGTTGTGTCTTAAGTGATAGGTCTTAAAGTTACAGCAGCCTATACATAACTGCTGCTGTCTGTGTCACCTAATGCTAATCAAACAACAAAACACAGCTTTAACAAAGATCAATCCACATTTAATTTACGCAGTGAATACTATAGTGTTATTTTACATTCAGCCTAATTATTACATTTCTGTACCTGAAGGCTACAGTTAGACTTTACTTTATTTGTAACATTATTATGTTGCATTTATCTATGCATGTAATGAATGTATTTGTTCTTATTTTAAAATTTAAACCCTGACTTTTGTCTGATCCGTTGCACCACTAATAAAGAGACATCCACTCCTGCACTGCATGTTCATGCATTTGGGGGGCGAAGCAATGTAGGAAGCTCGGTGTTTGTTTGGGTTAATTTCAAATATCAAGAGAATTTCTCAGAAATCACTTACTACGTACTATAATTATTTTCCAAGGTCAAATGTAATATTGAGAGACTGGAGTCATTACCTGAGCATCCTTATCAGTCACACAGAAGTAAAAAGAGATGCTTTGACTTCCAAGGTTAAAGTCAATCCAGAACGCTTCAAGATTCCTATCCTCTGGCATGAGCAACTGTAAACATTATAATACAGAAATTTACATGTATGCATTTGCATAGTCATTCCTATTGAATTTGTCCCTTATTAAATATGAAAACGAACCTCATGTTTGTCTAAAAATGCCTGCAGGCAAGGGTATGAGTACACACTGTGAGAAGATAAACCAAGACATGTTACACAATCTGTAAAAAAGAGAAAGCTGTCAAAAGACAGTAATTGAATACCTTCTCCCATCTCCTTGCATGCCATTCACCATATTTAGAAACTTCCTGCAGTCCTGTCACAAAGACACATACAAAAAACATGCTACAAAATTCTATCCAATCAAAAAATAAATAAATAAATAATTCTGTTAATGTCAGGCCATATTTACAGTCTCAAACTCAGAATCCTTCAGCTTCTTGAATGCAGAGGAGACAAAAGACATAGTAAACCAGGAGTCAGCTAATTCATTCCTCTGAGCTGGTGTAGTCATTCTGCAGAGGGCCTCCATTAAAGACACCTGCAGGTCATAATCTAAACAGCAGCAGAAATGTGGCTAAATCAGTCGTAGTATGAGTGCTTTTGAATTAGGATTCTTTAATTGTACTTTCTAAACTAATCTGCCAGTATTCACTACAATGGATTTTAACACTAACCTCCACCTCTTAGTATTCGACTGGCCACGACATTCCTGATTAAAAACAGAACAGGCATTAAGATTTAAAATACAAGCATACTTGTACTCAGGGACTTTCCTGAATAAATGTGTCCACAGGAGCAAAATGGAAACATTTATATGTATGGTTAAGAACTCAAGAATCCTTCAAGAAACAGGAGAGTGATAATGCATGATCATCCAACATACATCATACACGAGCCCTCTTGAGATGACAAGATCGTCTTCTTCTTTTTCAGCTCCATGGGAATCTTTGCCAGAATAGCGTTGAGTTTCCTTGCTGCCTGTCATGAAGAGTAAATAATAATCCTTCATACATTCCCTCTTGTAATTCAGTCTTCTAAGTCTGGGTAAACACAGCTCAAGTAACAGGTCATGTCACATGTCATGACTGGAGGTGTTGAATGAGTTTTTGTCAATTGGTTGAAACAATTAATTCCATGCATATCAGTGGTGACTGAAGCTAAGCTGTATTGAATATCTTACCTCTTTCTGGATCATGATGTTTATTTGGGGATCGGAGGCCAGTTTGCCAATGTGACTAAGCAGAGCTTCTGTAACTTCACATGTACCTGAGAAAATGCACATATTTAAATAAATGCACTGTTCAACCTACTTTTTGTTTTTGTCTTTTTTCCCCCTCCAAAATACTGAAAATCTGGAACAAAACACTCACCTTCTTTACAACTTTCATGAACAACCTAGAGGTGAAATATATAAAAAAATCACAGATCAGACTAATGTATTGCAGTGTGCGTGTTTATAAATTGTGCCACACACATCCTCAAAAGGTCAAAAGGTAGTTAGTAAACATTCAGTCAACTCCACTGACCAGTTCGTAAGATATAGCCAAAATAAACAATGATTTAAATGCATTACGACACTGGACATGTGTGCAAGGTATTTTTGAATATGATTAAGCTCAATCGGAACGACTGAGGTGTTTGCATGAAGGCTTTTCTGTCCAATTGAGCCATCAATCTGATTACTAACAGAATATGTGGGTGCATGTAAATGTAACTATTTAAATGCACATCCCAAAAATGTGCAGTTACGAACCATCAGTGCATCAAAGAAGTCCTCAGCCAGCTTTATCAATGTCTCATTTCTTGATGACCCTGCCTCCACCCACAGCTTTCTGGCCTTCTCGAACCACTGGACCATGTAAACATATACATTTTAAACCATGAATATAATATTCTCTTTCACCAAAACAGACATACAGAGAGAACAGAAACATTGATTATACACTTATCTTTTTAACAAATCCCTGGGCGACTATTACAGATATTCCACCACCTCCTGGAAACACCAGCATCTCACCATATTTGTGTAAAATGGTGAGCACCAGACAACCATGGTCCACATTTCCAAGATCCATTTCCTGCAAGAAGACACAATAGAGTGCATTAGTGCCGGCCACTTTTTTAGTGGTGTTGGTTCCAGAAGTATTTGTCCCCTATTCATTTTCCCCATAGGGATTCAGAAAAAAAGCCTTTGTTAAAGGGTTATAAGGGATGAAACAAATCAGGTATCAGGTATGAATCTAATTACACATTTTTAATACAGGCAAAAAAGTTTTTGAAAATCTGACAAAAATACCACGGTCAATTTGCAAGCAAAGATGGAGTTAGTAATGACGAAAAATGTCACTTCGCATTATATAAATATTTCATCCAAAAAGAGAGTCCGTGGATATCTCACATGAAATTTGCAAACATTGCACAAGAGTTATGTCAGTGAAGGAGTCTCAAACCACAATCAATTACTCCCTGAAATTGAAAGCAAAAACTGCCTGAGCTTTTGCCATCTGACTCTGTTCAGCGCATTCATTCTCTGACATGACAAGACATGATCTACCTCAGTGCTGATAAAGGTATTATCAAATCTTAACTTATTTACATAACATTTATCTTGTCTATAGGGACATTAATGATAGTGAAAAAACTAGAGGAATCCATATTTATTCATTTATTTTATTGCAAATGCAAATGCATTATTTAACACATAACTTACCCTGTTGAACAGCTTATCCAGCTTGGTCATGAATTGTCTGGAACATTTCAAAGAGGTTTCCTCCTTGCTTTCATTTTGCAGAAATGTTTCTAGGGCCTGAAAATTATTGTGTTTTAAAGCCTCATCCACCAGTTTCTCCACCTAAGTAATAAATTATAGCGTGAACTTTGTGGTATTGTGCAAAAACTGAATACATAGAGTCACGTATAATTACAGGAGACAAAGGCATTACAGAGGTGTTACATTCATTTTCCAAGAAATAAGCGTGAAGTAAACAGCTCTTTTGTTTATTTCTCACCTGATGGTCCTGAAAAGGTGCCATGATGCACAGACGATGACCTGTTTTAAATGTTGAAGATATTAAATATGATCTCAGACGTACACAATTCAAAGAAAATACAATTCCAGGAAAGATGAGAACCTCTAAATGTCAGTCTTTCTAATTCTCGAATTTATATTAACAACAAAAGTTAATAAACTGCGTAACGTTACTTTGGCTGTGTTTAGTTTAGGATGCGAGGTTAATCAAATTATGTTGTAACGTTACTGTATAGGCGGCGAATGTATGTGGCAAAAAATAAATAAACAACACACATAGCCTACATAAAAGTAAAGATTAAAGCTGTAGGTGATAATATTTGTCTATGTGATGGAGTAGGCTAAATCGTTGCTAGTTTAGCCTGTTGGCAAAGTGCTCAGATTAACTTTACGTTAACGTTAATTTAACGTTTACTTACCTCAGATTATGACTGACGCTTCAACGGACTTCAGGAGGAACTTTCAAATCTTTCAACAAATAACGTTAATGTGAAGTTAACGCTGATCGTTCAAGACGAAAATGCTCTGTCAAAATCGTTTGTAAAAGAAAGATTTCTTTCGTGTTTGTCGGTTGTATGGAGCCGTTTGTTTTAATAACGCGGGAAAGTGAAATGACGAGCACGCGCGGCCACATTAACAGACGCTGGCAAAAAAAAGTTGTTCTTTGGAGTCGGATCTTTTCAATGAATCGATGTTTCTCGATTCAAATCTCGAGTGGACAGACTAATTAATTATTAATAAATAAACTTTGTTTTCATTAAAGTAAATTATTTTTAAAAACCTAACAATATAACCTATTAAGTTCAAATTCATTTTTAGTACATTAAAATAATACAAATTATTTTGTTTTGTTATCTTATACGAACAAATGAACCGACTAAACTATATAAAATGGTGTCTTAATAATAAATGATAAAAAAATTAAAACTAAATAATTACTATATCATTTTAGGTTTGAAACATTTCTTTGTAGTTTTAAAGCTGTTGACATAAAACTTTTGTCCTTCAATTTATATATTTTCAAATATCAGGGTGGCGCAACTGCAAACATGGCTCTTTTATTATGAATTGACAAGGTAATAACATTAAAGATGATAATACATTATGCAGTGGAGCTCTATTATCTTTGTGGCGGAGTGAAAAGGTTTGTAGATCTCTCTGAAATAATTTCCAGTATGTGGGTATTGGCACACTTACAATGTTATGTGGTACAATTACAGTATACATACAACTATTTGATTTGGTGGTACCACCGAACATAAAAAGTCAAAAAATGAATTTGAACACTTTGAAATGTTAACAACTGAAACTTGTTAAAACCATAGACTGTTAAAAATGGCTCAAACATTTTTCATGACTCAAAAATATGCATTACATTCATTTTGAAAAGACTATTTAAAAAAATGACTCAAATGTCAATTATTGTAAATTATTTTGTTTTCATGAACTGAATGATGGTGGCATCAACAAACTGAAGTTACAATAATAATAATAATGATAATAATAAACACTTAAAAGCACAAATGTGTGTCTAAATATGGCTTTATTGGAAGTTAAAGGACAATGTGATAGTCACTGAATATTTTTTTTAACCAGTTGTTTAAAACAAGTGGTATTCCCCATCTCCACTGAACACATTCTTATAATTTATTCAATCAACATCTGTGTTTACAATATACACAAGTAGGCTACTATTAAAATGCACCACATAGTGACAATAAATCCTTAAACAAACAAGTGCAAATCTGAAAAAAACAAACAAAAAAAACATAGTCAAGGCACTTTTTGATTCTATATTGCATTATCAAAGTCATCATACAGTAATACTCTCAGTGCTATAGTGCAATTAAACAGTTCTTAGTTAAAATTCTCATATTTCAAAATATTATTCACAAAGGAAATGTGCTAGGTAAGACCTCCAGAAACTCAGCAATATATCACATGGCAAAAATGCTGGTAGTTGCAAGTAAAACGTAAAAAAGTGAAAACAGTGCTCTAAAAAAGTTCCATCTGACTTTCAGTGTCCTCAGATAAAGTGTATCATGCTGTCTTCACATTCCTTCGGCACAGGCAGGTTGTAACTCTGACAGGTTAATTTGTAATTATGCCCACCATTGTTATCCCAAAACTGAGTCCCCATTACTTTATAACAGACCGCAAACTCCAGCACAGCCCCAGGGTGAAGGATGAATGGAGGAACAGGAAGATGAAACCGAAAAGTGTCACAGCAGGGGCCATTTGAAATAGATTTGCTTGCAACCCAGTAAGCCTTGGTTTCTGAGCAACTCTTCCAGTTTGTAAAGGAATAGCGAACACTCACATCCTTCTCAAACGCCAAATTTACAACTTGAATGATCCCTATAATGCCAGGCTCATAGCACAAAACCCGCTCCAGACACACTTGCTGAAAACACAGACGCTCCGTGAAGTTTGAGCATTCGCCTGGCTGGAGAGAGAACATGGGTTTCAAATATGGTAGGGATATCTCCATCCTCTTACTCGAGGCCAGCTCAGAATTCATTAACAGTCGAAAGAGAACATGCTCTGGGACAAAAGGGTCCTCGCCGCTTTTGAAAATCTTGACATTTTCCAGGTCCAACCCCAAAGAGTCCACAAATCGGACGCTGGCTCTGCGACTAAGCGTCCTTCTCTCTGATGGAGATGGAAGGGATTGAGTCCGCCTCTGGATGATGGATTTGGTTGGGGGTTCACACGACAGGCTGCGGCCAGCATGCTTTGGAGGCGTTCTCGGGCTAGGTGGACGGATTTTAACTGGCCTCCTCCCACTGTCCAGTTTTGAGCGGGACATGCCCAGGGAAATCGGTGTGCAACTTGAGCCACCTGATACAGTGGTAAAAAATAGGTCAGCATTCATCTCTTCGAGGGGTGTGTCTTTATTGCAACATCCCAAAGACCAGGCCATGTTTATTAGAAATAGTGCACCTTGCACAGATAGCTTAGAGAGACCTGAAAATCAGAAACATTCTAGGTTATATAAATACTTATTACATATATTCGAGTAAGTGCAAAGAATCACGTCTTGTTTACAGGCTATGGTTTGTTCTGGCATAACACTGTGCAGCTGTGCAAACATGGCAGGCTCACTAACTACTTTGATCTCAGCTCACTTTTATCCAATACATTTAATACATTTTAAAATGATACAGTCGGTGTCAGGGCAAACGTATACAGTCAATGACTTTGGCTCTGTACACAAATTCAAACAAAAGAAGTTGTTCAAGTTCGTGTTTTCATTGTCTCACCAGTAAAATCCGACGTGTTTGGGTTTACGACGCATCTGAAGATAACGTTACTCCGACGCTATTTTTATAAACCAAGCGTTCATAATGTGGAGGACTTCACACAA